GAAATCTAGTAAACTCCCGAGAATTCAGGAAGGGACGTGAACGTTCTAGAAGTTCATGACGTGTTACAAGCGTCACGTGACTTCCGCTGTCGTAACACTGTCCCTTCCTTAGTATTGTTAGTCCCGAACAATAGCCACTTACATTAAACAATAAACAATAACTTTATTAAATGTACAGAATTTACAGACACAAAATTAAAATTCAACAAAATCTCTTAATTTTACGGGACGTATCTTCTTTCGTACTGGTCTCCGTCTCGTTGGCTTCTGCTTCATGTGGGGTTCATCTGCTTTATCGGGAAACGCCATTGGCAACAGTCACATCAGTGGTAGTAACTTCATCAAAGGCTTCACTGTTTTCCTTCTCAAAACCGAGTAGAGTTTCTTTTTCGACAGTGGCTTTTTCAGGTGACACGTCTTCAGCTGCGTCATTTGTTCCGTTGTTCACTTCATCCCAACTGAAATGTCCTCGACCGTGATAACGCCAAAGCCTGTTGAATGGTAATGAAAGCCTGGGTAATGAAGAAAAAATGATGACAAAACCTTGTCGAAACGTTGTACATTTGTGTTATGTTAAACTTATATTAAAGTTTTTCTTCATTACCCATTCAAGACGTCTGAAATCATTATTAGTCTCAAAGTGGGTTCCTTGTCATCGAAAAAGACCAGAGACGTAAAAATTGATGTCAGAGAGTGGGACGAAAAAAAAGGGAGATGGAAACGAGAGGTGGCAAATCAAACTACAGCTTAGCAGATTTGATGGAAGCAATATAAGAACAGCAAAAGAAACAAGAAGAACGAGAAAAGAAACAAGAAGAGAGATTACAGCAATTGTTGGAGGAAAAAGAGAAGAAACAAGAAGAATGAGAAAAGAAACAAGAAGAGAGATTACAGCAGTTGTTGGAGGAAAAAGAAAAGAAACAAGAAGAACGAGAAAAGAAACAAGAGAAGCAACAGCAGTGACAAGAAAACCTGCAACAGTGGCAGCTCGAACAGCAAAATAAACAAGAAGAAAGATTACAGCAGTTGTTGGAGGAAAAAGAAAAGAAACAAGAAGAACTAGAAAATAAACAAGAAAAGAGACTACAGCAGTGGTTGGAGGAGAAAGAAAATGAACAAGAAGAGAGACTACAGCAATGGATGGAGAAGAAAGAAAATAAACAAGAAGAAAGTCTCCAACAATTGAGAGAAAGCCAGAGTACACAAATGGAAAACATTAGTAAATTTAAAAACGAATTAAATACATTAAAGGATGATTTATTGTCTTTTACACAAGGAGGATACATTAACCATCGACTTAATCAGCCCCAGACAATGGCAAGTCCCTTACAGAGCCCGCAGCTAAACCCTAATGCAGACATTTTCAGTCCTCTTAGAAGTCACATCTCAGATATGAATGTCAGCAATATGGGTGATCTAGTACGAAGGAAGCCACAGGAATGAAATGGGAAGGCACTGTGGGAAGCATATAGAGCCCAATTTGAACTCCTGGTAGAGATGAATGGATGGACAGAGGAGCAGAAAGCAGTGTACCTGGCAACAAGCCTGAAGGGACAACCACTGGAAACACTTGGACAGTTGTCAACAGATGACAGGCACAACTCAGGTATGGAACTCAAAATCAGTTAGAAGTCTACAGGGCTAGGTTTAGGACGAGAGTCTATGCTAATGGGGAGAGCCTGCAAGAGTTGGTACAGGACTTGGAAAGTATGGCACACAAGGCCTACCTAACTGCTCAACCCGATCTCCTCAAGTTGTTGCTGAGGGATCAGTTTGTAGATGCCTTGAACAGTCCACAACTGAAGATACAAGTAAAGCAAACACACCCCTCTAATATGCAGGATGCAATGGGCAGAACTCTTGAATTTGAATCCTACGTTAAATCCAGCACGGAGGTACCAAGGTTGGTACAGTCGTCAGGATTCAAGGCCAGAAAAGGTTAGCTTTCAGAGAGGTTTGAGGGACTTGGCTGGCACCGTAACAAACCCGGGCACAAGAAACCTGAATGCTGGAAACTTCAACACAGGGAAGATGCCATGGCAGGAAAGGCTGCTACCCAGAAAGGTTGTTGGAACTGTGGAGAGCAAGGACATATGAGAAGCTGGTGTAAGAAGAATACTACCAATAAGTCAGCCTCAAGGAAATCAGTAGTGCTTCGTGTTGATGAATGCCTACCAACTCCAATTGTGAATGTCCCAACAGCTAAGTGTAAAATGCCAAGCACACATAGTGTCTACGTGACAGAAAAGCTGGATGGCCAAAGTGCACCTTTGTCATAGATTCTGCATCTCAGCAAACCCTTGTAAGTATCAAGGTGCTAGATACCAGAAGCCATACAGAAGCTTTGTGGTGTGACAGGACATTATGCAAGGTTGTGGGGACCAGTGTGGGTAATTATTGAGCTCATGGGCATAAAGGACAGACAGAAAGTATACTTGGCTGACATTGAAGATCCATGTATACTAGGGTTGCATTGCTTACTACCGAGGAAGTGTATAGTTAACTTTGATTAAAAGATGTTTGGGAACAACAAAGGCCAAATTCCGGTAATCGTTAAAAGAGAGGTTGGATTAACCAGGTGCCATCAAGCTGAAGTCAAAGTGACTGAAGGAGTTGATGATGGTGAAGTGGAACCAGGTATAGATATTAATGCAGAGCAGGAGAAAAACCAAAATCTGAAGCCAATAATTGATTTTCTAAAAGCAAGTGATTTGCGCTCTGCTTGGGATAAGGTGTCTAGCTTAAGCCCTGTGACAAAGAACAATTGGGCACAATGGGACCAGTTGGAGCTTGAAGATGGTATTCTTCTCCAGAGATGAAAAACTGCATATGGGAAATTGACGAAAATTAACTAACGAAGGGAGACGTAACAAACTGGTGTCAGAGAGTGGGACAGAAAATAAAAAAAAAAATAGAAGAAGAAG